TCTGGTACTTTAGACTTTCTTGAGCTCAACGGTGATGGAAGATGACGTCATATTTTGAGGACGGTGAGGGCAGTGGAGGGCCTGCTTCTACTTATGGAGGACATCTAAGGGATATTTTGCCGTAAAACTTTCATCAACAGCGGCACCTGTGCGATGAAAAGTTTGATGATGTGCGCCATGGACAAAGTGTTTTTTCGGCCACCCGGTATACATGCATACCTAAACATCACAACTCAGCGGTTTATGTAGACGTTTACCCATAGAAAACCTGTGAGTACAAAATATGGTGTACCGTCTTTTCACCTTCGTGGTCTGTAAATGTGAGGCTGGTGGCAGATTTGCGATTTGAGCAACTGGCACCAGCTTGCATCAACGACTTACGCGTTTGGCGCTATACTCGTGATTGCTGTAGTCGCAGAAATCGCAAAGCAATGCCCCAAGACCTAACCTAAGCTGAGGACCTATACCCAACCTTGACCGTAACCTTCCTCTACGCTGAACCTACTTTATCACATATCAAGCGTGGGATAGGGTTTTCACGACTCCAGCGATATCAGCTATCGCAGGAATGGTGCCAATTGCAGAAAGCGCTGTTGGCAAACAGGTGCCAGTCGCTCAAGTCGCCAAGTCTGGCACCGGCCGATGCGCACCTTTTCATTGTTGTGTGTATGATCAGATTGAGAAGTTCACTTCGCTAACCATAAGACTCTTGTGCACTCTTACTTGGCGATCAGTAAAGTTTTCGCTTGATAAATCTGTGCTGTGACTGCTGTATACTATTAATTCCATTTGTACGAAAATCGATCGGTTAACTATTACTTTGCGCTCTTGTTGCGTATACTCAATGCAACATACAATTGTTTCATAGGTTTTATTCTTTTTTTCAGTTATTGCAAGTTACGTATGGGTATGGGAGACCCATATGTGCCTGCCGACCATCTCTCACCTTCATCAATCATCGAGAAATAGTATGTGAAGTCCCATTTCGGCGAATTAATTTCAAGCCAGTAATAACGTACTTACAGTAGGAACGGCGTTGTGTTTTTGTTTTCAAAATCTTGCAGGTTCCTCTTATTCGGAGTCGCTGCAGCACGTCACTATTTTTGATACTCGTTTATTCGCTCGTTTCAGTATACTCGACGGTGGTGATGGAGTGATTAAGTTTGCGAATGGCAACAATGTGAGTCTCTCTCTCGCACTCGAATCCCAAACACGGGATCGTGACAGTGCTCGTATTCACACCACAACCATCAGCGATTACAAAGGAGACGTGAGTTCCCTGTCATTCCCTATTATTTTCTTTTTTTCCCTTTAACATTGTTGTATTTAAGAGCCGGCAATGGCTGCATATGTGCCGTCTGAACCCTAGAATCCTTCGTTCGGTAATGTGAACATACGGTGAATCCAAGGCTTGTGATAGGGAACAGGATCAACTCCACGTTGGGCCTATTTTTGAAATTGCGCGATTACCCCCCGTGGAGGGTCCACATGACCCCTCTCTTTCTAGCATTGCGGAGCCGATGATGCGGTTCTTGCTTGAACTGTTATTGATGAATTGAAGGCTTAAAAGGTGGGTCGATCTAGAAGGGGGGGGAGAATAGTACATGTGTGACTTTAGACTCGTGAATGGCGAATTCTACGTATCTCACCTTTACTCTTCATAACCACAATACGACCCCCCTAAAAGACTCAATTACGATCTCTCTCATTAAAGGTCGCACATTTGTACGTTGACCTGATAGGGGAATTCTTGTTGAAATACGGTCTGCAATAGGCTTCTTTGGAAGTCAGGGCGTAAGTTATTTTTTTTTATAGGCATTATCGACCTAACCACAGGCACAAATCTGGCCCTTTTTGTTTGTGAGGCCTGGCTTCTGAGATACTTTAACGTTTGTTAAAAGTTTAGTTCATACTTAGGCTGTACAGGTTCGTGCTCTGCGAGGACGATTCCTGGCCGTCCAAGGTGATTTGATAGCATTTCGCTTTTTCAACGAGAATACTGGCGATGTGATCCGCATAATTAATAGAGTGTCACGCAACCGTCGCCTTATCAAAGTGAGTCGACAGCATACTTCGCTCGTATTTTTTATCAAAAATGGAATATTTATTATTACAGGGATTTTCTAAAGCTCCTGTAGACCTCCGTTTTGCTACGCATCTTCCGCTTTTAGCTGTAGTCGACGGCGAGTCGAATCTTCATGTGTACTCGGTTGCAGGGATTGCCAAGATGTGTGCGTATTGTTTCCTCTATTCCAGTTATTGTGTTTATCTGTTATACAATTTGTATTCCTGTCTGTTGCAATTGTGTAATTTCATCTGCTTGTAATCATTATCGTATGCACATTTTTCAGAGAAACATACATGACGATCATGAACTGGCCAGGGGCACGTCTGACAATACTCCTCGTGTGGTTTGGTGTCCCTTATGTCGCAGAAAATCCCTCTGAATCCGTCAGACGTTGTGAACATGGTCGCGCTGTTCAAGGTAGCATTGTTTGTAAGATGCACTGCTGGTTACGTACTGGTTTTGAGTGACTTCATCCTGTTCAGAAAAATACGGTTTATGTCGTGAATCTCAGCATACTGAAAGAACGCGGATCGAGAATGACTTATGAGGAAGCGCTGGCGGTGGAAGAAGCCATCTTGTCAGTGGAGGTTGAGGAGGTTTGTCGTTTCGAATCATCTAGCCCTTTTTATGGCTGTTTGTTTTTTTTTTTTCTGCCAATCTCCATTTTGGAAAATTGCTGCATTCTGATATTTGGCGCTTTGGCGCTTCATGTCGCTCTTTCTTTTTTTGCTCTCTTTCACTAAGTTCTTTTCCCAAGGTCTCGATCCCATTTCCGTGGTAGTTCCGCTCGCTGTGACCTATTCGGTACTGCACGGCATTCTTTTGATCATAATTAAAGATAAGCCCAGCATTATTGAATCAAACTATTTGGGGGAACCTATCGCATTCTAACTCTATTCGAATTTTTATGGCCGTTTTAAATGCGATTTTTTGCTGGCAATCAACTATGTACGGTTCTGGCCGATGTACAAGTCAGTGTTTTTAATTCTCCCAGACTGACATATATTAAGCGATTTGAAGGGTGGAAGACCCCGTTCGGCCTGTTTTGGCCCGGCATGACGTGCACTACCGGATTGGTTTGCGTAGCGCGCATTATTTTAAGGCAGTGTTACCTCCTACTACATCCACTCAGCCATCCGTTATAATTATTTTTTCAGGAAGTTACTGCGGTTTGCATTTCTCCTGATTCGACAGCGGTTGCCATCGCTCGTGCTGACGGTGTTGTGTCCTTTTACGTGATGAACTCGAATGAAAGTGAACTGAAATTTGCTCATACCTGGAATCCTCAGATGAACCGGCCTATAGTGGAACTCTTCTTTCTTGACGGAGCTCGTCAAAAGAATCAGTGAGTGTTAATTTTCTTAGTGTTTTCAAGAGCTAATGACAACAAGACGTTTAGTTTCGAGAAGGATTAGAAGCAAAAGATTTACCTCAAATCTGACTTTGTCATATTTCAAAGCGTGGCCCGATGAAGTATTTTACGTCGTAGTGTGGGTGAAGTACATCAACCTTTTGAGAGAGTCACCTCTTGTGTTGAACATATTTACTGTGTGTCTTGCCATATTGCTCAATTGGTGAGGAAAAGCGGCATGTTAAGGGAGCAGTTTTGGCGTCACTGTCTTGTGGTTGCTGAAGGAGGTCGTCGATTAGCTCTTTTTGAGTGTGAAGACTGGCTCTGCCTTGGACGCGTACGCTTCGAGTCTTCTGTGGAGATCGCGACTTTCAGCGTACATGTTGACCCACAAGCACGATATGCTCATATTTTGGACATAGATGGATCGGTGGGTGCTTAAAACCTTGGTGTTCTCTTATTATGACGAGCGTTTTCATCCTGCCGTTGATTCATAGCGTTTTATAGAATGTTTTCTGCATCGAACTGGAATACGCTGACCATCCACGATTCGCCGGCATCACGCAAGTAACATTTTCTCACCCGATTGTGGCTATCGTCCCATATGAGGTTGACACTGAAGAGAAACACGACTCGAGCGTAGGTATGACAGGTATTTTCCACCATACTTTCTTCATTTTGCCATCATGAGGAATTTTCTTGTTCGAAGGAGAATGAAAGTTCTTGTAGACTATTCTTTGGACGATGAGTTCGACAGTGAGCGTAATCGTATGAGGTATGCTATACGAAGTTAGTCATTATAATGCGCAAAATCGGACATCGCAGCCTCCTTCAACTCGATGTTCATCTGGAGCTGGCCGAGCAGCATAAACCCGCTCTCAGAAACAATGCCCACCATCAAAACTGAAGGAGATACTGGAGCAGAAGAACGGTAATTCGAGCTCATCATCTTTTCACTTCATTGCTTGGCGATTTTTTTGAGTCGAGACTGCTTAGCTTTTTTCACAGGATTTACTACTTATTTTTTAAAGGGTGACCCCATACATGCAACTTTTTTACAGTTTGATTATCAACAGTCCAGAACTCCAACGTTTTGGGGGCGCGTAAAACCGCGGAAATTTGTTTGCATGCTTTATTCGATGAAATAGAAACAAATTACTCGTATAAACCGAGAAAAACTTATCACTTTCATATAAAAGGAAACTAATGTGGATTCAGTTGCTTCAGCTTCAAGATGGGCTATAGTTCACCGTAGTCGGCAGGCACTAACCCGTATATGGCCTCATGGATGCCGAAGTGTTAATAGTGCAATCGGTTAGTGCTTTGAAGTTTGATTTGACTAATTTTGCAGCGGCAACGAAGGGCCAAGTGATTTGCTTACCGTCGCGCCTCCCGCTGCAGCAAATTCTACTCCTCCTGTAGATTACGAGAAGTTGATGGAGCAGTTGAAGGAAATGAACGATAAGGTTGGTTCAAGGGGAATTCAGAAGCAATCCATTTTTTTGGAATTGAGCTCACGTAACCTTTTTCGTAGATTGACAGCTTTCTGTACGCGTTGAAAGGGCTGACAGTGAAGCGACGCTCTGCCGCCACGAATGAACACATCCTGTCGCAACTTCAGTGCTTCAGTACGTTCTTCAGTTTTATAAGAACCATCGGCTTTTGTGTTCTTTTTTCTCTGATTTACGAGTTGTTGGGTAGATTCTTTGCTGAGAGCTCAGAAGCTGAAATAGCATCTCAAATAACTAACGAGCGGTTTTTCCCTTATTTCTGTGCCCAGTTTCGCAGCATTGCCTATAGTAAATATTTTTGTGGGATTTTTGCGCTGCCTTCTGGAAATTTTTGCGACTGAAGAACTTCGCATTTGATGAAGGCGAGCAAATGTCATTCTTCCTTCCTTCAGGCTACCCACTCTTCGATCAGCTTGACTGTTTGAAAAAAGCCTGAGTCGTGAGATCAAATATCCGCAGCTGTTCCACAATGTAAATATTCGGCTTTTTCTTATGTTTCGAGAGCGCCTCTGCTGTTCTTAACGCAGTCCCTAGAAACGCACGAAATGCCGAATCCACCATTTTGCTGTGTTGTTATGGTGACAACTCCAATTTTTGCTGTGTTGTTATGGTGACAACTTTCAATAGAAAACCCGAGTGATGATTCCTTAGGTCGCGTACGTGATTCGCGACTACGGAGATTAGGATAGTATATGATGTATATCGTCATTTTGTTAAAGAAAGAAATCCCAATCTTCCTATCCGGCCGAACATGAAATCGATCAAGAACCCATGGAGCATCCTCTTTCAAATTTTTTTGCTGGCATGGGCAATTAGAAAATCGAACTAGCAAAGCCTGCTTTATATTATTGAAAGTGAGTACCGTTCAAAACAATTCCCGACTTGTCGTTAAATCGCCAAAACCAACGACTGAATTCAGTGACAGGGGAGGGTGTGACAGAGTTCCAAGTGTTATTCTTGTTATTACGACATCGAAGAAAAGTGGGGCGAACTTATTCTTCTGGGACATAATTATTGTTTCTCTACAAAACAGAAATTCTTCTCCAAAGAAATTCGGCAAATTAAAATTAATTCAACAACAATACATAGTAGGGCACGAATTATATCCCTTATATCATCTTGAAAACACGAATTTTGGATTTCAGAAGAAGAGTTTTCGCTGCGTGAAGATCGTTTGCTGGCAAATGTGTCGGATTTGATTGAAACGAATCATCGCGAGACTATTAATGTTGTCCGAAACGCGCTCAATGAGAATTCAGTGGCCGTAGAAAATTCTATTCAAGCAAACCATAAGGTAAGGTCACTCTTGTTCCCTTACTACACTTCCTCTGTGTTCTCTTTTAGGGAGGTATTTGAATTTTGAAAGAGTGGCTATAGTGAAACGTTGATTCTCTCTTTGGGCGAGCTGCTTAACAAACGGTCCGTTTTGTTACGCTCAATGGGGAGGGGTTTTTCTGAGGCTGACGGAGTGGTCATAGATTTTTGTGTTATTGTGACTATATGAAGAGCTGTGGTGATGGAAATTGAGGGGTCGTCGCGAGGGTTTTTTTTAATTTCTACGAAATACTGTGAAAAGAAGCCTATGGAAGTTTTTGAGTTTGGCACTGTTCCTCGTGGCCACATATCGTTCCGTCAATAGTCCAAGAAGCATTTGAATGTGCATCTGGTATTCGATTGAATATCGAGTGGAAATGCTTTTTGGTGTCTCTGAAATCCCAAGTTTATTCGGATTTTCTCAAAAATGCCCTTTTCTAATTTACTGTCCACTGGATGAATTTTTGTCCATGTGTCCCCTTTAAAAAATACATTGTTGAGTAGACGGTATGGTCTATTTTTGCCTTCATTCCTTCAGTGATCTTGCAAAATTTCTAGTGCCAGTGGTCAGTTTCTTAATTTCAGCTGAGTGCGGATGCTGTTTCTCATAGAGTTACCGAAAGATTACGAGAGCAATTGACAACGATGGTGGTACCAGCTATAGAACGGATTTGCGCGCAGCTATTCAAGCAGCTAAATGACAATTTCCGTCATGGTCTTGACCAGGTGCGAATGCTTTTACTATCGAATACTCTCGTGCTACTCGCCATTTTTGTGCTACTTTCATAGGGTTTTTTCGCAATGGTCAATTTCCTTTTTCTGATTTGATATTTCTGTTGTTCAGTACCTGCAGCAAATGCGAGCACTGCAAACAGCTACATTGGCAGCCGTTGCCGCAACCGCTACACCAGCTCCTTCGCTTTCCGTCGGTGCCGACCGACAGGCTCTTGCTCACATGATTAAAAATAACCAAATACCCCTTGCGTTCGAAACGGTAAGTATTCACGATTCAAAAGGAAGAGAATTCAGTTTGAGTTCAAGACGTAAAATATTCGATGAATGCTTTGAACTTTTTTGCTTAATGGCTGCATTTTATTTTGGTCTGATTGCTACCTCACCCGTATTAACGTTCACGTTCACATAAGAACAAACACAGAAAAATTGCATTTGTTTTGGTAAAAAATTCGAAAAACCGAAAGGGCTGCTACGCGTTCAAAGTACCGCCGGACATCTGTCACAAATGCTGGCGACGGAATGCTTCCACTTGGTTCTTGGAGTGCCTTCACTAGAAACTCTTTCTGGCCTTTTGACTTATTGCATTCACATCTCACACTTCTACTGCATCCTATTCTATCGATCGATTTGTCTCTACTCTCCAAAATCGCACGCTTTAACCCGATTCTTTCATTGCGTCGCCTGATACGTAGCCGCCCAAGGCGGACTTCTTTCCATGCCCGCCTTTGGCTCCGCGCCCTTACCTTCGATTGTCCATAGAGTGTAGTTTTTGTAAGTTTGTTTCTCTTCGGAAACGAATCTTCATGCGTGAAACTTTGTGTGCTGTTTCTAGTGATCACAACTGACATATTCGTGTTGGAAAGAATGCAAGATTTTCCGGGAAGGATTCCTCTAGTTTTGTGTTGTATGGAGTATTGTACACGCTTTCTCACTCTATGGGGTTGTGTCAGTCGACACCGCAATAAGACATCTGTAGTTTGTTTCAGGAGGCTTAGGCTGGTGTCAGAGTCAGCGATCGTCGCAGGTTTCGCTGATTTTTGCGATTTGCGCGAAACCTGCGACGGATCGCAAAAATTGCAAGTGCCCCATTTGAACATTTGAAACACTGAATATGAAACAAGTGGAATCATGAGCAGTCGTCATTCAGCCATCAAGCAGAAGTGGCGGCAGGATTGGAGAACACCTTGCAGTATTGATCGGGCACTTGTGATTTCCGTGACCCGTCGCGTGAATCGCGTGAATCGCGCAAATCGCGAAAATCAGCGAAACCTGCGACGGATCGCGGACTCTGACACCAGCCTTATAATGTTTTGCTGATGATTTCATTTTTGTGGAAGATGATGATGCCTCGCCATTCTATTCATAAGTCGGATGTGAGTACTTTGCAGGCGTTAAACCAGGGTGATCAAACTGCTTTGGAGTTTGTTTGTAACAATGTCGATCCTGATGAGATTTTCCGTTATCCGGGTACTCTATCACAACCTGTGCTGCTATCTCTCCTGCAACAGCTTTCGTTACGCCTCGACTCGGACACTGATCTGAAATTTCGGTAAGAGTTTTGCGTATCCCTTCTTAGTTAATGTAGAGCTTTAAGTTTTTACATCTTGGAAAACTAAGCAAAATGTTACGCAAACTAAAGGAAAGTCAAGCCAAACTCACCTGATTCTAGGTACATGGAGCACATTGTCGATGTCCTCCAACCCCACGACGACGACATTAGCGTAATGGTGCCCAAAGTTATTGATGGTCTCATGCAGAGTTTGACTGGTTAGTTCTCTCATTCCTTGTCCTAAACACATAGGAAAATGCCAATTTTTTTACAACTGTCTTAAATAACAGTGCTTACTTGAGTTTTAGTTGTCACTTTCTTATTCTAGTCATGAATTTGCAGAATTCTACAACCTTACGGCCAATCCCCAACAAAAACGACAAGCTCGAGTTCTAAATCAGTTGGTAAGGAACTTGAGGAAAATATAGCTGTCGGCATTGACCCCAAGGCTTCATAGTAAA